TTTTTAAAAGTTATTTATATATTTTTACATATTAATATTGTAATAAATAAAGATAAAAATAATATTTTTAGTCTTTATTTTCTTAATACAATTTTTAACTCATAATGTTTTCTTTTCATTTTTTTTAAAAGATAATCCTCAATTTTTTTTATCTAAGATCCATTTAATAACTTTTTATTAATTTTTTTTCTCAATTTTTTTATCAAATACAAAAATATTAACAATTTAACAAATTCTAACAAAAGTAAAACTTATTAACATTTTGTGTAATATTTAATAACTTTTTGTATAATTTTAACTATTTTTTTAATAAAATTGACCCTCAAATCCAACAGACCTATCAAACAAACCAGAGGGTCGCGCGTGGAGGGGACCTCATTTCTAGTTTTTGGCTTTATTTAGAACTGAATTTTCTAAGCAATAATATTATGTAAGTGCGTGTGTGTGAGAAAGGTGGGGGTCCTCAGCACCATTATCCTTTTTAGCTCTAGCTCCTTCAAATTCCGTTTGGACATCGAAAAATAAGATTAACTTTCCTGCGGTTCCGGTATCTTTTACAGCTGAGACAAGAACAAGACAACAAAACTCGGATCCTAAATCAATGTCCTGCTTAATTTTAACTGTGTACGTAGTAATAAATTGTAGACTACTTAGTTATCTATATGAGATAACAGTCTAACTACATTTCACAACTATCGCTAGAGAGGGACAACTCCAGTATATATTATTTAATTTTTTATGAATGATTATAAGATGTGTAGGTTATTTAAAATAAATTATCTATCATTTTTTTATATCTATATTTTTTTGGCTCTATATGATACTACTTCTAATTTAAAATAATTTTGTTTTTTTAATTCCTTCATAAATTAAGAAGTTAGTCACAAGTTATATATTTATTTATATTATATTATAAAAAAATAGAGATATAATAGACAATTTTAGTGAGAGGGTGGATAATTAAAGTTAAGGGATAACAATAGACTTAAAATAAAAAAAAATATTTTTACTTATAAAAAATAAAATAATAAGATAAAATTTGAGTTAAAAAATAATAATTATTTTAAGACAAAGGAGGTAATATCAAATGCCAAATTAATAGTAGTAGTTGCACATCATTTTCTCTCTGCCTTTCCCTCCCCAAAAAAAACCATAGGCTATCTTTTTTCTCTCTTGTTAGACGGCAAGCTTCCTTAAAACTTCCTAGGTATGCTCAATCGCTTTAGGATTTGTGCAGCCAATTTTTCTTCAAGTTTTCTTATTTTGTTAAAAAAAATTAATAAGAATTTTTATCCTTCTTGTGTTTCTAATTATATGATGTGTGGTGTTTATTAGTCCTTTATGACATTAAATTTGAAGATAATTTTCAAGTAGACTTAAAAAATGTGATACAATAAGAAATCAATCTTTTCAAGTGATCTCATTGGTTAGTTATCAAAGTTTATATTCTTAGGGATTGCATAAGGGTTGGGGTTGCCATACTTTTCATCACTTTTTTATATTATATAAAAATCTCATAGTGATAGATTTAAGAGGGTTTTAATACAGACACTTGTTTAATTTGTTTTCCCCTTGTGAAATTTTTTTTGTGTTAGTTGTTTAAGAAATTATATTATGAATGCAATTCTTATTTGTTTATATAAAAAAATATTACTAGTTGTTGTTTTAATTTAAAACTCATTTGGGGTGGCTTAATGGTATATAAATAGGCTTTTCCAACCAAAACAAGTGTATATTTATTGTATTTTTTAATTATTTTATATGAAAAATTACAAAAGTAAATTTTATTTCTCAACACTAATGTCATATAAATAATTTTAATTGAGTAGTTGACAAAATCAAAGTCAAATTTTATTTTTTATTTATATAAATTAATTTAAATGTTATGCAATAAAAGCACCTTTAAAATTGCAAGAAAGGAAAAAAATTTGAGCAAACAGGGTGCAGGCAACTACTAATTAATTACCCATTTGAATTTCTAAATGGTTAAGGACATATCTGATCCAAATGAAATGTTGAGGTGGTATCTAGCGTTTATTAAAAAAAGGTTAGGGACCACATTTAGTATTCACCTTACAAATTAGGTTAAATG